CAAGTAGATCCAAGGTTAAGTCAGATTGACATAGGTGTGAGAAGGGTGGTTTCCAGTAGCAGCCAGAAAGATATCTGAATGTTTGCATGTAGCCTATGTCCTGCTAAAATTTTATTTTGTTTGTGTTTTAGATAAATCTGACTTTTCAAATTGTGTATTAATTTTTGTACCTACAATCCTTACATTTACATGTTAGGCTTGTCTTTATGCTGCTTGCAGTGACTCCTATATCAGATATTAGTTGCATGTCCTAATTTTTATCGTTTTGAGGATCTAGGCAAAATTGCTTTTCTAATAAACGTCTAATTCTAGTAAGTGTAGAGGAGAGTTCAGGCATGACAGTTCATACAGTTGGAATTCCTATAACTGGTGTGGGGTCGTGATTAGGAAGAAAAGATGCTACTATTATATTATGGTAGGTAGCAGAATTCTTCAGAATTCTGGGTTACAGTAAATACGCATTGTACTCCTACTGGAGGAAGTAGTTAAGTAAGCCATGGAAAGTTTGTTTTATACCCTTCCTAATAAGGGAATTTGGGTTGCTGTCTTAAAGACATTTTGGATAAATATACTTAGGATACTGCTGATAAATATCACTGGGTTACTTATAGATTAAAATGGGGTTTAAATATGACTTTCTCTGAAATTGGACCATCCATAGAATCTGCAAATTTTGTTATAGAATTTGACCCAAATGGTTGGATTTGGGGTTCCTGTAAATGAGGGGTAGAATTCTTAGGTGAGTGTGCAGATTTATGGTAAATTCCATTAGTTTCCTTTCCATAACCTTTTACGAAATCACCACTGTGAATACAATTTGATGGTATAATTTGCTCTGGCCAATACTTATGTTTCTGCCTTCTCCATGTGATTTTTTTCCCCCAAATAATTGCGTATGAAAATATTACTTATAAGTAGTTGTTGAAAGCAAGATAATTAGGACAGATGCAAATGCATATAGACCTTGGATGACTTTGAAGATTAACTGCTTTACCAGGCAGGTGTGGTTTGCCTGGTAAATTTAACTCTTTTTGTAACCCCTGGACATGGCTTCTTTCTCTCTCTCTTTTCCTTTCCCTGTTTAACTACCTTTTCTCCATCTTGAACTTATTTATTATTTTTGGCAGTTTCTGTTGGAAGGAGGGAGGTGAATTGTGTATTTGCATGTTTCTCTGTGAGAATAGTTAGTGTGTAAAAGAATTAATTTAAGTGAGTTTCTTCTTTTACAGGCAATTTAATTACCAGAAATTCAGATATCCTGGCCCCACATGTGTGTGTATGGTTTAGGTATATGGTTATAATACACACATTTCCTGGGCAATGGGTAAGTGGAGGGAGACAAATTTTCAGGACTGATTTTAGCTGGAGTTAACAAACCAACAAGATCCCAAGCAAGCATTGCAAAGCATGTTGCTTTTGTGTTCATTGCTGTTGTTGTTGTTGTTTTCTGTCTACTTTTTTTTCTTGAGGAATCATCTTAAATTTAGGGTCACCTTTTGAGCAAAAATAGATGTTGTATCTGTACCTACAGCCTGTGTATGTGTGTTTCTTTTAATCTCTGGTTCTAATTCTCTTTCCTGCAGAATTTTGGGAATGCTGCAGTTGATCTGAAACATCCACATTGCCTCTGAAGAAAAGAACACACAGGGAACATTTACAGTGTTTGAATGTTTTTAAAATAACCATAAATGTTCATGAGATGTCTCCTACAACTGTTTTCCTGATACCATGGATATTCTGCTTCTTAAAACACTGGTGTTGGTCAGTTGTTTTGCTGGACTTTTTTACTATCATCCAGGCCTTCTTTTTAACTGGGAAAGAGCAGTTTACAAGAAACCAAATTTCATAGTAATTTTGGCAGACGATATTGGATGGGGAGATCTTGGAGCCAACTGGGACCTAAAAAAAGGTACACCTAATTTGGATAAGATAGCACAGGAAGGAATGAGGTAAGTTTCAAACCAAACTCTGGTGTTCACATTTATTTACAACTTATTTAGAGGGTGTAGACAATTGTTTAAATTCTACAGGATTATGGGATTGTGCTTATAGTTGTGTATTTTGTTTGCTTATTTATCACATTTATATTGCACCACAATCAAAAGCACACTTTCAGCAGCTTACAACATATGACAAAATGATAAGTAACAATAAAAATGAAAGATACAAAAAACTTACAATCAAAAATACAGAAACATCCCAGATAGCATGTTGCATCAGCCTCCTCTGGAAAAGCTGTTTTCAGCAACCTCCAGAAGGCAACTAGAGTTGGGGCCAAGCACACTTCCCACAGAAGGCCATTCCAGAGAGCCAACCTGATGGTGGAAAAACAATGGCTCTAGGCTTCACCCACCTCCTTGACCTCCCAAAAATGGGGGACAACGAGCTGCTTCTTGTGGCATGATTGAAGTGGTTGGGCCAATTCCAGTAGAAAAATGTGGTCTGGAAAGTATATGAGTTATTTTCAGAGAATACTTGGTTTATTTATTTCTGAAATGTATATGCTGCTCAATTCCAAAAGAATAATGTATCACAATAATACAAAAGTAAAATAGAATTAAACAAACAAAAAAACCTAAATGCCTAAACAGAATAAAAATCCATTTCTTAGCCAATGAGTATCCAGAAAAACAATACTAACAGCATTAATCCCCCTTTGCAGGAAGGAAACTTGTCATACTATCAGTCCCTCAAAACTTTGTAAAACAGCTAGATACTGCTTTCATATGCAGATGGGGGATAAATTTATTTAATAAATATAGGACCTTGAGTGACTCTGGTGAAGGTTGATTACAGCTTGACCATTACTCAGTTGGACTACTGCAAGGCACTCTTCATGAGATTTCCTTTGGAGAGGACTGAGAGGCTGTAGCAGTTGCAGCATGTGGTGGCCACACAGCTGACAGATCAGTCCAGCTGCTGCCAAAGAACACCAACATTAAGGACATTGTGTTGCTTCTGGTCATTACCTATAAAGCCTTATATGGCATAGCATCAAGATACATCTGGCACCACCTCAGCAAAATTGAATGGGCTAATCTGGTTCAGACATCTAGAGAGGAATATCTAGAATCCTTCCTTCTCTGTGAGAAATACATGGGAGTGGGCTAGATGGTATGTTCCCATAGTCTGGGGGCACATTTGTCTCCTCCCTCCTTGCGTTTTGTAAAATGGTTAAAACTATTATATTACCAACCCTGAACTAATTGTGGGCATTCATCCATATGTTTATTTTATTTTTGTTTACTCTTGTTTCTCTTTTGCTTTCTTGTTCATCATCCAGAGTCTTAACTGATGGGGGATATCAATAAATATGATGACAACTTTAATTAGTATTCATTAATTTGATTAGTTTATTCTTTTGTCCTGGCCTTACCCTTTTCTGGTAAGTATATATCCACAATAGATACATGCACAAATATTGTCATATATATATATTTATTGGCAGTGGGAAGGGGAATCTTCATGGTTGGTATCATCAGGAGATGGCACCCCTAGGTTGTCACAGTGCATAAGTAAGGCATTGTGTAGGATTTTCATCTGGGCTTACACATTTTTCCCCCTGATGTCTACTCTTTTTCCCCACTCTCTACTTTTTCTTTTGTGGAGTGACGGTCTAAAATTCAGGGTCATGTTCCTTTGGGGTAACTAAATTGTTATTACTATCATCATCATCATCATCATCCTCAACCTCATTGTCATATAAACTTGTATGCTGCCCAACTCTCAACAATTCTGGGTGGCTTTTGCAGTAGAATTTGGAAGGGTTAAAGGGCAGGACACTTCTGGTCTAGGTATGATGCTCACTATATCCCAACATAGTAGATGGGAGTATATAGAACACTGCGGTATATGAGGATTCACTATTTGATAGGTCTTCCTTCATAGCTCTTCCCAGAATTTCAAGAGCACTGTATATACCCACTCACATACATATATGCATCACTTTGGTTGCTAGCTGTACAGAAATGCTCAGGAGCATGGTAGTTCTAAAAGTTCAGCTGACAACCACAGCTGAAATAAATAACAGAAAGGCATAAGAATGTGTAGATTACTGTCACTTTTCCATCCATTTCTGAAGTTATGTTCCTTATACATTATATTTTTTAATCTGTCAATTACAAGTGATTTCCAATATTTTACTGGCACCTTTTCCTCCTAAAAGCTCAGTCTTTAAAACTGTAACTTGCTTAATATCATACATCTCACTAAACATGGGAGGCAGTCAGTTTGAACCACTTCTTCTACTGCTACAAATGCTAATACTATGACATGATTTAATACAAAGATGCTCCCTTTTAATAAATACTGTAGTTGTGTTTTTAGGATATACTGAGCATTTATTGCTCCTCTAAAGACGTCAGCTCTGGCTATTAAAACTTCCTCAGGCAAATGGTAAAACAAGGATTTGAGATAGCACCAGTGATAGGGATTTCTGTTTGCTTAGTGTGCACATTTTTATCTTCTGTTATCTGTCTTGAACATGTTTGCTTCATACCATTTTGGCACATACACAAATCTTGGAGAACAGCCAGTCAGCCTTCTTTCTGCTAGTTATAGCTCATTTCCCTTTAATAGTGCAAGCAGGAGTAGTGTTTTGTTTTTTCTCCTGTTTTTGCAGAACAATTTAAGAGCAGTATATATATTGAGACATGAGCCCCCCCCCTTTTGCATTATTTTGTTTATTTTTCTATTTTGGTTGGTCATAGAACTGCAACATAGAATCCAAATAGCCTGTTTCCGGTTCTGTATTTCATTTCAAACACATGAAAACCTGTCCATGCTAGCAGACCACACCAATCCACATTCATGGCAGGATGCGCTTCATTTCCTACATGATTACAGTATATCACTCACCTCAGCCTCCCTTTTCTCCTCTGTTTCCTCTCCCTAACATAGTGAATTCCCTCGGATACGAAGGGAAGAATATATATACAGTAGGTATTACAGGAATAAAGCTGGTGGAGCAGGAACTGCTGGTTTCCATACCACACAGAACTGTTATAATCAGCATTGATCAAGTGCCTCCCAATCTCAGGGTTGTGAAGAAACTAAATTCTTGGTTGACACAAAGAGGCAGGAGGAAAAAGCCTAGAATTTAACTCTGGAACATACACATACAGGTGCACACATGCTTGTGTGTGTGCGCGCTCATTTATTTATTCAATTTATATATCAAATTTGTCACCGCCCATCTCGTTAGAAAATGACTCTGAGTGTTTTACAGAAAAGATAAATATTAATTAAAAATACTACACACACACACATACACACACACACATATATACAGGTAGTCCCCAGTTTAAGAACGAGTTCCGTTCCCAAGGTCTGTACGTAAGCCAGAACAGTATTATTGTATAATACTGTATAAGTAGTATTGTGTAATGAACTAGAACTATTGTGTATTTAACTCAAATGTTGCTATAATAAGCTACATTCTAAACTATGGGTCATCTGTAAACCAGGCATTCTTAACCCGGGGACTACCTGTATGTGTGTGTGTGTGTGTGTGTGTGTGTGTAGGCATTGGTTGCTGTGTACTACAATGGAGACATCTTCTGTATTGCGTGGCTTCATTCTTGTCTGCAGCAAAGAAAGCAATCTGTCCGAGTCATGTCTATGAAACTTGTGTAAGTCAGTTCCTGAATAAAGGGTTTGTGTCTGGAGAGCTGATACTTAAAGCCAGGCTTGTATGAAGCCTGACATGTGTTCTGGAATTTAAAATAACAAATTGTTGCTCATTACGTACAGCAAAATCATTTTAAAAATACTGAATGCCTACAAGTAAATATTCAATTCTGTTGTGGCAAAGAAAACTATTCCTTAAGAGCCGATCATAAAAGATGATGACAAAGGTAGAAGCAAAGTTTTGGCTTCAAAACCACAGCTATAGTATTTGAAAATGTGATTTTTGCAAACTTCAGATATTAAAACATATATGCACAGATGAGCATACTTCTTATCTGTATGCATACACCTTAAGTGTGTACTCATAAGAATTCAGAAGAGAATGAAATAGTGCCAGTGAATGTCACTGTTGATGTCAAAGCCACCTCACCCCAAACATATTTAGAAAAATTTGCACTTCTGATTCAGTTGCTTTTGCTTGAATGAATTATCTTCATTCAGTGAAAAACTGGAAAGAGATAAAGCATGGGCTGCTATCTGGAGTGTGGGAAAAGCAATCAAATGCTCCATTAAATTTATGTAATGAATTGTGCATATGCTCTATATTTAACAGGTCCACCAAGAAGCAATCTGAAATACTGTTTCTTTCCATATTTCCTTACCATTTATATATTAGAATATACAAAGTAATTTATATAATTTTTCCATTAATCCATACAACATTCCTATAAGGCTGGTAATGATGACACTGTAGAAAGCACGGGACGTATGGCTTTCTGGTCACTATTATGAAGTAATATTTGAACCAGGGATTTCTGAGCTGACACACTATGCTCCTACATTGAACTAACTCACTCAAGGAATGAGATGCTTCTTATGGTTCTGCCAAATGCTTTTACCCTTTTATTAATCAAATTCCAAAAATGTGTTGGTTACAGATTCCCCCACCATCACACACGGAAATCATGAGATAATCCATCCAAGTAATTGTATTGATTTCTTTGCTATTGCATTTATTTTTATTTCACTTGCAACAAATTATTGCTAATTTTTTTCATAAAATGTTTCAGCTTTGTTTTATGGACCACAGGGGTTTTAAAGATGTGCCAGTGATAAATGGACTATGGGCTCCACTCAGTAGGATTCTCCTCACAACTACAAGGACAATATCAAAACAAGAGTCTTCTCTGATAAAGATTTAAAACTGCCAGTTTGTTATGGATTATTTCAGTCAAATTCTATGGCTAGGTTGTAGTTTGTTTTATTTGGAGTACTGTACGTACATTATGAGAGCCAGTCAGTTCAGTGGGTAAAGGCACTGGACTAGAAGCCGGGAGACTGAGTTCTAGCCCTGCGTGAGGCACCAAAGCCAACTGGGTGAAACTGGGCTAGTTACTCTCTCAGCTCTAGGAAGAAGAAGGGAATGGCAAACTACTTCCAAAAATGTCAAGAAAACTGTATGGACTTATCCAGGTAGTCACCAGGATTTTTGGAGAGCCAGTTTGGTATAGTAGTTACTGGACTAGAAATCAGCAGATTCTCAGTTCTGATTTACAGACACAAAGCCAGCTGGATGATTTGGGGCCAGACACTCTCTTTTAGCTCTAGAAAGAAAGCAATGGCAAACACTTATGAAAAGGAGTCATGACAGAGTCGACCCCCCCCCCCCAAGAATAAGATTTAAAGACACCCAGTTTTACTTAGTTTGATTGTCTGGCCAAGCAGACTCTTGCTTATGAATCCAGGACTTGAGAATGTACATCAACTTTCCTCAAACTGGTGTCTTCAGGTGTTTGGGAGTACAGCTCTGATAACTTCTTTTGATAATTGCCCATGTTGGCTGCAGCCAATGTATGTTGCAGTTCAAACATTAGTAGAGTACTGGGCTGGAAAAGACTGTTGTAGACAGAATCGTAGCATAGCTAATTCATGCTTTGAATCTTTTACTCCATTCTTTACAGTCAAAGTTAGTTAAAAAAAAAAAAGGCCAGTCACATGATGGCTTTTCTTCATCCTACATGGGGAAAAAATAATTAGCTTATATTGTGGTCTCTGAGTTTTGAAAATTCTGGAATGGCTGACATTTTCCTCTTTAAAGTGAAATGTTAATGTAGAGGATAACATTCAGCTGCAAAAAAAGTCTGATGACTTGCCCCTTATATGATGCAGTCTCAAGAATGTTTGTCCTGTGCTTTGGACCTTCTGGTCTTTGATGTCATCAAATGGAATAAATTACCCTTTAACTATGTTAATCAGCACATCTCCATTCCAAACTCTCCATAATCCAAAAACTTATTTTGGACATTCTGCATCTCAAAATCTGTAATAGGAGTGAGACATTCCAAAAGTAAATCAATCACATTAGTCACACAAAGCAGTTCTTTTAGGGAGTGGGTTTTCAGGAAGATGTTGGATACTGCCACCCTGACTGAAAATGTCGCATCATTGGGAGATTTGTCCTCTAGGAAGACAGCAGCATTGATTTTCACTTGGGTGTCTCATGGATGGTACGCAGCCTTGAGAAGCCGAGTTAACAAACGTGCATCCCACATTTGCACTAATTCCAAAGTAATTATTTCTGTGTGTACACATTTGAATTGTCTGGGCACTTTCCCCGTGTACTTCTAAGACAACACAGGATATAAACATAGCAAGCTTAATGCCAGTGTATGTCAATAGGAGTTTAATGAAAGGAACAACATAAACCTCCAGATCCATTGGTGCAAAAGTACACTGAGTGTATGAGGATAAGGAAAGAAAAAGGGGGCATATACTTCAAAGGCTAACCACATTAACCAAGTAGCCTTCGACAGCCTTGCCTACAATACAGTAGCCTGATCTAGGGAAACAAACATTAGGTTCTACAGTTAGATACCTTGCCATAAACCAACTCAAGTATATTTTGTTTCAAAATAAAAGGAACATAAAAAATGAAAAATAATAGGAACCTTTTTTGTCTCTTTCTAGATTTGTAGATTTCCATTCAGCTGCATCTACCTGTTCCCCATCACGTGCCTCTCTGCTTACAGGGCGTCTTGGTCTTCGTAATGGCGTAACCCACAATTTTGCTGTAACTTCAGTGGCAGGCCTCCCATTGAATGAGACAATATTAGCAGAAGTTCTGAAGGAAGCTGGCTACCTCACTGCTATGATAGGTAATTTAATCTACCACAGAAAGAAAACTTAAATTGGTTCTATTTTTAGTTGCTGGATATGTGCTAGTCTATGACCATAATAAAGATTTGATTTGATTAGTTGCCGGATAAGGGATATTACCAGTGGATTATTTCAATTGATTTTGGAGATGCACAGAGAGGGCCAGAGTGTCATTAGGTAAATTGGGAATATTTGCCACACTATGAAGTACCTTTGCAACATAAGTCATCTTGGATGATGAATCCAAGGAAGTGCATGTAGTTTGTTTTTTGTTTTTTTTAATCCTCTGGATCTACTCCTCAAAGAAGCCCGAGCCCCTTGGTTGCAAAAGTGTATCCCAAGTTCTGGTTTGGCATGTGCATGCCCAAAAACGCTTTCACTGAGATAGCCAGGGAAGCCCAGCAACATTGCTGAACTACTTGGATAGTGCATCTCTGTGGATAGGACAATCCCTAACTTAGATTCCCTTGCAGTGATATTTTGCTATCACCGTCTCAGAAATCTTTGTATTTGGCAGTTTGCCCCGTGTTTTCCTCCAGGATCTTAGTAAGGTTCCTCTTCCAATAAATTTTACCTTTTTAAAGATTTGCTCAATTTTCTGCTTTATCTTTTGGTACTATTGCTAATTTACATTGCCCTTTTAATTATATCTTAGTTTGCATATTGTTGTAAGCCACTTTGAGGCTATTCACAACAGAAGATGGGGAACCTTTCTTATGCTATATGCAAACTGGCCTTAAGATACACCCTTATTGTGTAAGCATGTAATATTCGGAAAGTCACTATATCCAGAATGTCCTGGTGCTGGGAGAGAAAGATGCACTTTCCTTAGGATACATATTTGTGAAGTAATTTAAAATGTGATGAAAGTGAAGCATATTTGCAGGTCTGAGCTTCATGCTGAGAATGGAGTTATTTTTCTTCTGCTTTTTTGGTAGGAAGGGATGATGGCTGAATATTTTCTGACTGGGTTCCTTAGCTCACTGTTCTTAAGCAATTCTACCACAAGACCAAAAAAAAAAAAAAAAGGCTTGACTTGTTAATACTAACTACTGTTTAAAGGCTCAGTGATTTTGATGTGTCAAGATGACACAGTTTGTGAATTCTGGTCCTTTCTATCTAATTGCCCAGAGCTAAAGTAGCCAATATTAAACATTTTCCAGTCACTAATTTGCCTTGACACACTTTAGTTACTGACACTTTTCTACTCCATATCATTTCTGTGTAGGGAAATGGCACTTGGGACATCATGGCCCTTTTCATCCCAGCTTTCGTGGTAAGACTTCTATTTTCCTCTGCTGAAATGTGAAGGTTGTTCTAGTTGGAACTGCAGTTGGGTGCATAAGAGTGAATGCTTCGGTGTACATACCTTCCAGTTAGATATCTTAAGATGTTATGGATAGAAAGAAAGATATTCAAGAATGTAGCTTTTCCTTAACACTATTTTTTTATATGGCGGAGAATAGACATGCTTTTATACAGAGAAGTATTTTAATGTTATAAGACCCATGGTCACGACAAAGCAGATAGATACATAGATAGGTACGTAGATTTATAATCCTGTAAACGCAAAACAAACTCTTAGTTTTGATCAGCATTATTATTTTATCCAAAATCCCTCTTTGACCACAGATGTATTGACTGGGCTCACATTATGCTGGCTGTAATTTGCCTAACCATCTTTTATTAAATAAACCTCAGTTGGCTAGGTTCATACAACAGACTTAGCTATAAATCCAGTCTGCATTGGACAACCTTTTGCTAGATTTGAGTCTGTAGTGGTTTGAGTGACAATGCAAAAATCGGTGGAGTCATCTTATGCATGTGATTTTTTTTAGGAATTGTTGGGTTTTTTCTTTGATTTTTAAAATTGTATTGAATCTAAGGACTTACATTTTTGTGTGTTTCCTCCCTTACATTAGCAGAAAATTGCCACCAGTGGCAATTGAAGTCAGGGCTCAAGGGATGGGGGGCAAAAATGTGCCTTGGGCTCTGCTTGGAGCCCTAGACTACAGATTGCCCAACTGTCATCTGCCAATGACAGTTGGCTGGCAACACACAATGTACTAAGCCAAAATGAAATAAGTTATATTAGGGCTTAATACAATGCGTTAAATGGTTTTATCTTTATCTAGTAGCTTTTAAAAAATTCTACATTTCTTAAACTATGGGAGGGAAGGGAGAAAAATAGAGAGAGAGAGGTAATACATGTTTATACTGTGTCCTTTCTGGAAGTAATGAACCTAATCCTGCTTAGGACTCTTAAATGACTCTCATAGAACCCATGAGATCATGATCAGTTGACAGGCATCCTGCTGAGTCCTTGCAGTTGGGTTGCCACAGATGACAAAATCAGAAGTAGAAATTTATTCCATTTCATATGAGACTGACCCTGTTACTGAGATAGCCACAGATATCTTCATCTTGTGACTTTTTAATTCTAGGTTTTGATTTTTACTTTGGGATACCATATAGCCCTGATATGGGCTGTACTGATGCTCCAGGTTATAATCTCCCTCCCTGCCCCGCTTGTCCCAGATGCTCAGCAACAGCCAGGTATGTTTGTTTGTTTGTTTATTGCATTTATATCCCACCACAATCTAGTGATTCTTGGCAGCTCACACAATATTATGAAAACATTAACATATTCATATTATGCTTAAAATTACAATTCAGTCACTAAGTCAGAAAATCAGAAAACTCATACACGATAGCAAGATCAACCCAGACTAAAAATAAAAGTATAAAAGATGGCCCAGTGTGTAACACAATTGGAACACTTTCCAAAATAGCTCAGTTTTTAACAACTTCCTGAAGGTCATCAAGGAGGAGACCAGCTCGATCTCCATGAAAGCGCAGGTGCTGCCACTGAGAAGTAGTGCCTTCTGTCTTTGGCTTCCCTCATTTCCTGGAAGTGTGCGACCACAAGGAGTTTTCTGCTAAACCATCTAAAGGTCGTCCTCTTTTAGCAACTACAATTGGGACCAGCAGCTCTGTCGTTAAGCGAAGCATTTACTAAGTGGGAAATCATGTGACTACAACTGTGCTTTCCTTTTCCCCACTCCCCCACCTTTTAGAATGCCCACCCGGGCGCTGGGATAATTGGCAAGAAGGGAATTAATGTTAGTATTTACATTCATTGGAGAGGAAGGGATTACAAGAGATTAAGCAGGCACACAATGGGAAATACACTGGGCTGTTTGCACAGTGTGCTCACGGTAGTGCCACTGCATTCCTTTTGATGTGTATTCCCCATTGCGTGCCTGCTTATTCTCTTGTAATCCCTTCCTCTCCAATCTCTCTGCTCTGCAAAAGGATAGAAAAAGAAAAACAACAGGTCAGGCACAGGACAACGCATACTGACTCTAACAGCAGTCACATGACTGAGGGACTCTGCGAAGGTTGTAAATGTGGGCATTGGTCGTAAAGTTATTTTTCAGCACCACTGTAACTTCGAACAGTTGCTGAACAGGGCAGTTGGTAAGCGAGGTCTACCTGTAGTACATTGGGTCCATTTAGGTTGCAGCAGGTGGTCCTGCAACTACCAGGTCCCAAACCACATTAAGCCCTGTTCTCCTTGCAGAACAGTCTGAGGCAGTTTGAAACTTTCCCACTGGGGTCCTACCCTGTCTTTTTCATAAAGGCCAGTCCTCATTGCGGTGACAAGTAATTTAATCCACCACGGAGAGCAAAGGTAACCTGGATCTGTTTTTAGCTTATTTTATTGCTGTGCTCAAAAGATATTAGTAGAGGCTGCAGAACTACCAAAAGAAATAATACTTTTACAACCCACTTCTGTATTAATCTGCTATTACATGCTTAAGATCTTATAATTTTTTTTCAGTAACCCTCAGACAAACTGCTATCCTGAAGTTGCACTTCCTCTTTTTGAAAATCTTGCAATTGTCCAACAGCCTGTAAACTTAACTACCTTGGCTGCAAAGTATACAGAAAAAATTATTCATTTCATCCACTATGCCAGGTAAGAAAATCTCCTTGAACATTGACGTTGCTTAGGTAAAATAGTAATGGGTTGGCATTGTACAAATTACCTTGGAGTCTAACTTTATACATTCCCCTTCTCTCTCATGAAGCTCTTAAGAAAAGATTGGAAATTTTCCCTTCCATTATAAAGTACATGTAGTCCTTGCTTAACGACTCTAATTGGGACCGGAATTTCCATTGCTAAGCAAAGCGGTCGTTAGGTGAAACATCATGTGACCATACCACTTAGCAGTGGCAGTTCCAGCAGTTCCAATTGCAGTCATTAGGCCAGGATCACACTGTCATTAGGCCAGGATCTCATGCTTGTCCTGCCCTGCCGCGTTCACCTGCGCTTCAACTCTCCCCACCCGGACGAGGGCTTCCCGGAGGTGCAGCCCATGCTGTACCGCTCATGTTGGAAGTGCTCCTGGAGAACTGGCCTGCGGGGTTTCAGCAAGGGGTGGAGGCAAGCCCAGCACCAGCAGAGCCTACCCACAGTCCCTCTGCTGAAACCCGCAGACTGGTTCTCCAGAGGCGCTTCTGGTGCGTGCTGTGCAGCACACGTTGGAAATGCTCTGGAGAATGGCCTGCGGAGCTTCAGTGAGGGGTGGAGGTGAGCCCGGTGCTGACAGAATCTACCCAGAGGCCCTCTGCTCACTCTTGGCCCAGCCTTCCTCCCACAAAGCCTCATAAAGGTTAGGGTTAGGGTTAGGGCACTGGGTTCACCTCCACCCCTCACTGAAGCCCCACAGGCCAGTTCTTCAGGAGCGCTTCCAACGTGAACTGCAGAGCACGCTGCACCTCTGGGAAGCCCTCGTCCCTCCGCTTCCTCCAGTTCTGCAGCCATCCTGAACAGTGCCTCACTCACAGCCTCCACCTTCACCCTGGGAGTCGCCATCGCCTCTCCTGCTTTGCCCAGCAATGGAACGCGCCTCGCCATCCCATCCTGCTGCCTCCTCCCTGGCCGGGCCTGGCAAGCTCCCTTTGGCAGATGAAGCTCTGCTGCCCTGCCGTGGTCGCTGTGCATACCCCAGGGCTGCACCCTCACCTAGCACCTGGATCCTGGGCTAGCAGTGGGAGGAAGAAGACAGCAAAGGTCAGCTGGGGTGGCCGGGGGCAGCAGGGTATGCGGCAGAGTGCAGGGTGGCCAAAAGGGCAGAGATGGGGTGGGAAGATGGGGGGAGTTGAAGTGCTCCTGTGGTCACTTGCAGGCGGCCTGCCAAGTGCCCAAATTTTGATCACGTGATCATGGGTGTGGTACAACGGTTAGAACTTCGAGGACCGGTCTCAACTGCCATTCATTCAGCACTGCCGTAACTTTGAATGGTTGTTGAATGAGTGGTTGTTAAGGAAAGACTACCTGTAATGTAAAGGTAACAATGGGCCACTTTATACCTCATTGTGGTTACTCTGGCTAGGCTGCAGTTCTGATTGGTAAGGAAAATCTAGCTTTTCTTGGATAAGCAAAGGCTTGCAAGTTTCCCTTTTGAGTAATATCAAATGTCTACTAATGGAGACAGGTGTTTAAAATCAAGGTTTTCTTCTTCTTTTGGCTGGCCAACATTCAGGGTATTTATACTGAGCTGTCCCAGTGTGGGTTATTCAGTAGGGCTCCTGAGTTGGTCCTTCACTCGGGGGCAAGTTCAGAAAAACCTTTCCAGTTCTAATTGTCTTAAAAATGTACTACTTTCTTCCTCTTGTATTCAGAGTGATCAGTGCAGGTGAGATTTATAAACCAGTCAGCCTTTCAACAAGTTACCCTATATGCTTTCTCTGCCTCCCTACTATTCAATTATTTATGCTATTTAATTGTGTGATTTTTCTGCCAGCATGATGGCGGTGTAGTCCCGACAGCCAGCAAGGGCTTTAAGGGCGCATCTGCAAGGGGTGGTTGTAAGGGAGGGAAGACTCTGCATGAGCAATGCCCTGGAGTAACTCTGTGTCTCCTCCAGTATTAGGGCGGTTTTTCTTCTTGTAAAAACAAAAAATGGTGCAGTATTTGGATTTTAGGGGTGGGAATTTCTCAGGACAAGCAGAAAGGAAGGTCTCACATTGGGAGCTATTGACCTATTATGTTCATTTTGAGGGACGGGGAACTTGACAAAGAATTTCATTTTTGGTAACAGCTGTAGGATAATCTGGTAAAGTTCCCAGTGAAAAATAAGTCCGTTACCTCTGTTTGGTTGGAAGTGTTAACTTCTGCAGAGCTGATTACAAAACTTTTAGTTAAGCGTGAGGTCCCTGCCCAGTTTTTATGACCAACAAGCCAGATGCGATCCAACAGGTACACCTGTCATCCTGAGAGAAGTTTCACTCTGCCTTTGTCTTCAGCAGGTTATTCTGTGTAATGCCTGAAAGTGCTCCGTGCAAGACCCTGAGAGCTAGTATTGTAAGAGCCAACTAGTCAGGCTTGCCTTCTTATACTATCAGCTTTTCCTCTCTTAAAAGCACACGGTATTTGGCAAAGCAGAAGCATTTTTAGCAGCTCCGGGATCAACTACTGTATTACTGTAGATAGCTGGGGTAAAAGATACAGCCACAGCTGCTGAGAGGAAGGAAAGTGTTATATAATAAGCTTTCAGCACTGGGGAAAGTGATGATAATCAAAATGAGCCAAGTACCTTCCAAGTACATTGAGAATGGAGAAGTGGAGGAACCAAGCCAATTTTATTGTAGTTTCTGATTCCATAGTCTTGCTAGCTGCATTTTCTAGGAAGTAAAAACAATTTAAATCTTTTAAATTATTATTGTAAACAGGTCATAATAAAAACTGCTACAGCTCAACCAAAGCAAAATGAACTAATTGGGATAGAAATATCGTGTATATTTATTTAGAAACTGTTGGTAACTTAGGATGACAAAAGCAACTTCTACAGTACTGAAAATAGTTGATTCCACATCATGTCCTAAAATAAGCAAAATAATTATAAATAGAATGTATTAATAATATGCCAAGAATATGTGACACAGTTGTAACTCAGTCTGCATTTATAAACGACTGAAAAGCCCAAAATGTCTGCTAAGAAATGCTTGGGGCTTTACAGTTGTTTATAAATGTGTCTCTTTGGAACTGCAATCTTACTAAATAATGTGGTTCTTGTTATAATATTTTGGATCCATTGTACAGTTGAGTAACTTGAGAGTCTTGGTTACATAAAGATATATAATTCTAAGTGATTGTGTTATTTAGCAAACTATTGACAAAGAGTTTTGATTGAATTGTATTTGGCTGTTTTGATTGTTCATATTCATTGAATTATATACTACTTTGATGTATTAATATTGCCTTTATCCACAGTAATCATGGATTCATAACATCAGGAGTAGTCCTCAAGTCCAATCACCTGCTCAGTGCAGGAATCTATCCTTGACTGAAAACATTTAGCTAAAGGAAATGTTAGGCTGCTCCTAATGTTCAGTTGAAATCTGTCTTAAATCCATTATTATTCTGCACCCTAAAACAATAGAGAAAGACCTAGATCTTCTGGGTGACAATCTTGAAGAACGGTATCACATCCCTCCTCCATAGTTTTTTCCCTCAAGGAAAACAGCTCTTTCGGTTCCTTCTCATGAGACTTCTTCTGATTATTCCTTTTGTATCTATTCTAATTTCTCTGAATATTTTAGGATGGATACAGTATAGTATTTGAGATGGGTCTGAACTTTGCAGATTGTAGTGCAACTATTACTTCTTGTAATTTACTTGGAAAGCTGCATTTGCATTGGAAAATTATTCTGATTACTGATACACTACTGATTTATATTTAGGTGGTAATATTCCAGATCCTTTTCATGTGTACTATTAGATTTCTTTTTCTTTATTAAGAACTTTGTATTTGTTTCAAGTAAATGTCCACCTGCTGTTTCCAGTTCACTTCTCTAACCTATCAAGATCCTTTTGAATACTGTTTTCTCTTCCATTTTTGATAACATTCCATGCACCTGTTCATTCAGATCATTAATAAAAATATTGAAGAGCCCAGGACTGAACACTATTGCACCACACTTAATGTACCTAACAGACATACCATCTAGCCCATGCTTAATTAGCTTGCTAATCAGAATGTCATGGCATATTCTATCAATGGTCTAGTGAAACTGATGTACATTACTTCCATAGCAATTCTAGTAAGTACATTTCCCAATCAAAAAACGAAGTGAGGTTAGTCTGACAAAATTTGTTTTTGTTGACCCATGCTGGATTTCTGGATTTGTTAAGATGTTTACAAATTGATTTTTTAATGACTTATTCTAAAATCTTCCCAGATATCGATCTGCTTAATTGATGTGTAGTTATCCAGATCTTTCCATTCCCTTGAGCCAGACATCAGCAGTTTTCTTCAGCCCTTTAGGATGCAGCCCATCTGTTCCATTCAAGGTCAGTAAGTATTCCCTGACTATGTTTCTAATAAGCTGAAGCTGGCATCCTCTTCCTTCATCCTTCCATTCACAATTGCTCAGTGAAAGGCATATCCTTTTCTCAAAGAAGACTGAGTACCTTTGGTTTTGTTTCTAGTGCACATTTGCCATATTCATGAACAACTGGTGCGCCGATTTTTTTCCCTTTTACTTTAAGCATATCTGAAGAAGTCTTTGTTGTTCTGACCATCCTTCATTATCTTTGGCTCATTCTCAGTTCTAGTTTTCCTGCTACAATTTTACAAGTGAACACAAGAACAGAACAGAGCAGCATCTTTGTCCTGGTCATTGACCAGTCCGTAAAACACTTGGATACATAAAATTGATATTGATTAATTAGGTGAACAGATTTGTCAGTGAGGCTGTTGCGTATCTTACATATCACATGACAGAATTTGGCCACACTTAAAGAGAGAGAGTCATTTGAATCTTATAGTAAGAGGTTTAAATAGAACTGATCAGAGCATCCAGGATATATAATCAGGTGTGGAATTATCAGCTCACGGCAAGTGTTAGCATAAAATGGACAGTATAGTAAGGCATATTTGATGGTCTGTGGTTCAGTCACCACATGGGCAG